TGATGTATGCTCCCTACAAATCTATATATTTGCAGTTTTGTTGATAGACTCAGGCTGACTGGGGCATGGAACCTGAAAAATAGATGCCCTCCATGAGCCTCCATACTGCTTTTCTCTGCAACACTAGTGCAAGCGGTTTCAGTACCATGCTAGTGGCTCCTAGTCAGCAGCCCTGCACAAACCAGGTTCTACAGGAATGCGTGGGAATACTAGAAAGTCATGGAATCGACCATGCATCGGCATTTGCTTCCGTACCTCAAAGAAGGGCTGGGCGGGGGTTGGTATGAATGGTGCCCCGCCGCTACAAGCTTTAACCCTAGATATGAAGAGGAGGGTGGAACACAGAGAGACGCACACACACATACAAAAGGAAACGAAACAGGGAGTCAGGGAGTGTAGCCTTCATCCAGTTTTCCTATTGACCGCAGCAGTCCCAACGCAACCACATCATATCGATTTTTGCAACTCATATTCTTGAATACTGAATAGTAATAAAACATATGTTGATATTCAATGATATTCATATCAATATGGAGATATCAACACAGCATCCGTGCAGAAAACGGCCCCTCTTTTGTCATCCACGCTCCACGCTGTGGAGACAAACCGTTTCCGCCCTGATTCGGCAGGTGCAGACAAGCCATTTGGAGCGACGGGTGAAGGAGTTGCAGGAACAGTTGACGCAGGCGGTGTCCTTGGGTATGAAAGGGTATGAAAGGGAATTGCATCAGCGAAACATCGTTATGGATGAAATGGACTGTGCTCTACGGGTTTATGGAATTTTATGACCATGTTAATCATGTTACCATGTTTCTAGAGTTGATTGACCTGAACAGATGACAGAATCATCAAAAAACGTTTCAATGTGTTTCAACCTCTTCAAGCCGTCGACATGGCTTTTGTGTGGCCTTGTTATGCCTTGTTTCGTTTGACACCATCTCTCTTCAATTTCGGGATTCGCACAGGTTGAGCCGGGGTGATTGCCATGACTTTTCAGGACCCTTGAGACCTTCGGGGATTTTTGGGTTTGACCTCGCTTCCCCTTTCCTTTCAGCCCAATGGGCGCCTTGCGTCCCCTTCAGGTTCGCCCAGGGTCGAGGCCCTGGGTCCGTGCGGTGCTGTTTCTCGTGGCCAGGCCTCGAAACCTGGAAGTGAGATGGCGGTGCTGGCGCAGCAGAATGAGACCCAAGTGAAGGACCTGGGTTTGAGCATTTTGTGGCATTATACAACTTTGGATAACTTTGGGTGTTTTCTTTGACAAGTAGGGTGGGTTCAACCCTTGTCGTATCTTAGTTGGTCATTTTGACCATCCCTCATATCAGACCATCCCCGGCCCGCCTTCCATGCAACACAAGGAATCTTCAATACCTGTCAATTGAATCACATCCCTCGCAGGAATTGGCTCAGTTGGAAGCTGCCAAAGCCGAGGTCGCCCAGAAGTTGCAGGTCCGTCGCGTAGCGAGGCTGACCATGCGACCGAACAAAATGGATGGTGCAACCAATGCTTCGAACTTCAAAACGATCATCGCTGGTGGTCCGCTGGTAGATGACCGTGGCATGTCGATCCATTGCTTGATACGGTTTGTGGCAACCCTCACGTTCAGAAGGGAAGCCAGTCCGAAATAAAGCTGCGGCTGTTTGGGGCAAGGAAGACAGGACGTGTAGACGCAGGGATCGACGATTGGATTGACGGCTGCAGGAAGGTTTTTTGATAGACACTAAATGCCCCCAAATAGATAGAACAGTAGATTCCCACTAAGACAGAATGTATTGAACAGCGCTTCTGTCTATTTGGGGACCACTATATCTAGACCTCCTTGTGGTGGACCTGTAGGACTCGCAATCTCCAGATATCGGAACGCACCAATCCCGTGTCAAAAATAGAGCCAGAGCGATCTACTGAGGAGACTTGGTGCCATTGGGACTTCCGTCTGACTCCGGACAGACACCACCGAGACACCACCGAGATCGGTCCGTGCCGGCGATGAAGACGTCACGGGCCCGGTGAGCGCAGTGGGGTCAGGACTTGGAAAAGGAACATGCGTCAGCCAAAGAGCGATGTCGAATCTTGGCACTGAGGAGTGATGCTTTCGGTGGGTCTAGCAGAAATGCACTGCCCGGTTCCAAATCTGTGGCTTTGGGAGATAGACAATGTACATGGCAATTTTTTGAAAAGGATGGCTTACTTAATCATGGTCTGTCCCTGCTTGGGGAGGATGGTTGGTATCGCATGGTATCACCCGGGTGGCAGTGACCATGTTTTGACATGTGGGAGGGTCAAGAATGGTCAAGACCATGTTTTGACACTTAAATAACCAAAGTTTGTGGATATTTGTTGAGCCAGTTGAACCTGGCCAGTCTAGACTCTAGACTAGTCAACTCTTTAACCCTTGGATGCCAAGGGTTCAGAGTTTAAACTTTAAGCCCACAGCCTGCTCAGCCTGCTCTGCTCACTGACTCTGAACGCATGTGCTGAGGACTGAGTGAAGCCAAGATCCAAGCTGCTGGCAATGCATCGAGGCATGTGATTATCTTGCTGATGTGTTTCTTTTCTTGTGGTCTATTTTTATGGGGTGTAGTGCATCGAAGATGATCCAAGGGTGTTCTGCCCATTTCAGTCTCTATTTAGGCAGCTGGGCCAAAACAACTCTTCAACGATCAGCTCTTCCAATCTCAAGCAGGTTGAACAGATGGAACGTTCAGCCCGGCAACAGGATCTTTTCTTTTGTGATGTGGATCTCACTTCTGTTCGCCGAGATTGAGACGATGAGTGGACACTCAAGTCACAAGCGTATGGTTCACTTCTCCGTCTCCACTCCGGAGGAGCCAGCTCCGAATTCACGAAGGATTCTTTGTGGCTCCTTTGCGCCGTGAATCTGAAGCTGGTCGAGAGAGTGTGTGGTGCGCCACATCGCAAAATGCCTTGCAGGTGGGGTTTGCCGGGTTGATCTGCAGCACAGGCCTCGTCGAATCTCGTTGATTGCTCACCTCTCTTTTCATCTCGGTTTCAAGCAGCGCTCCCGCTCTGAACGGTTGCAGCTTCTGAATGAAGTTCTCCAACGGTTCGATCCATCCGATCCACCGTGCTGGCTTCGCCTCTCTGAGCGGAAGACCCTCAGAAGCGCTCGGTCCGCGGAGACCCTCAGCCACGGAGACCGATGCGCCGAAGCCCTGTGAGTCGGAAGCCACCAAGCGCCGAAGCTTGTGCATGGTGGAGTCCGTTGGAAAAGGCATCCATACACCGGATTTTGAACATTCTGGAACTGAGCGCCAGGAAGCGTTCGATTTCAAAGACGCGACTCCCAATGAGTGTGGCCTTTGAAAGAGACTCCGGTCCCTTTTCATGTCTTTCATGGAACTGCAACAAGCGCAGTGATTGGGAGTGCACGAGGTCGTCAGTCGACTGTTCGATTGAGACCTTGTGCACGTCGCACTCACTCGCCAGGGCAGCGACCAGGTGACCAGGCGGTTTGTCTTCCGCAAGAGGCAGTAAAGGCAACTCAGACGACTGGCTATCCAGTTTGTCAAAATGGCATGCTGGGAGACAAGGGTAGATGCTCAGTACTCATTCCCAATGAAACAAGTTTGGAGGGAACCTGGTTGTGGCCTTTCCCGTTTGTGGCGTCTGCCCACTTCCACAGCGTTGACCAGGAAATTGGTGCAAGATCTGCAGAAGCTCAAGAGAGAGCATGTTGCACCCCTTCAGGCGAGCGACGCGGCGTATGCGGGGGTGGGCATCAACACAGACTTGGACTGTTGCCTTCAAAAACAGCCATTCCACGGAGCTGGATATACTATAAAAATCTATAAAACATGTTTGAGGAAGGAACACCAGAATTCTGCCCTGGGGAAGTGGGTGTGATTTCAGCATCTGTCGTTGCAAAAGTGGCCGCTCAGGCACTTCTCATGTTGTTGCAGTGCCGAATTCTGTTTGGCTTGAACACGTGCTAGGCTTCCAGGCCGCCCAGGCCGCTGGCTGGACCATGTTGGGACCATGCCTAATTGTTATTGTCTTGTTCTGTGGCCTGCAGTGCTGAGGCCGATGAAACAAAGTGGGATAAGGATAAGGAGGAAGCTGTGCCCCAGTTAACATGTGATGAAAGCCCGACTTCGCCGTGCCCTGCAGAGATCTCAAGCAGTTCATATGAGTGGCACAGTGGCGGGCCCGCACCAAATCCGCAAATCTATCCCTGAAGATTGAAGTGCTGCATGGGTCCAAGAGCATTAGTCTTTGGTTTCGAACAGATTTGGGTGAGCCACCTTTCCATGGTACAAAACTAAGCGTCCCTCCACCACAGTTTCTTCTACGGTGTGATTGGCGGTGAATTTTCGTTTCCTGCAGCCATGGGCCAGTGTTGTTCTCATGAAGGGCCCATCACTGGGTTCACAGGGGCCAGTCATGAGGAGATGCTCAAGGCGGGGCGGCTGGGGGTCACCATAATTCTGGACGTGGGTCTAGTTCACTTCAGTTGACTGCAGGACATGGAGTAGAGCTGCCTGTCAAAGATCTAGAAGATATTTTCAAGTCTTGTGATGTTATGTATTGCTGCATTGCCGCAGGGCCATAGGCAATATTTCGTTCAATTTGCCTGCAGGTTCTCCATCGGCGGGACGCCATCACACCAGGAAACGGAACCACCGAAGACGCCTAAAGCATATTACCCGTTCTTACCTTGGTCCTGTACACATGTCATGGAGAGAGGTTGCCAGAACATGTGTCTTCCAAAAATTACAAGCATCCATCTGCCATGAGGATGGTTAAACGGTTAAACCATGTTAATTCCCTCCAGTAGAGGTAAGCAGAGACGCAGAGACAAGAGCCGACCGTATTTGAGTGACTTAGTCGAGCGTACTCTTCGACCATCTTCGACCTTCGAGCCTTCCCCCAGTCTTCGACCTCGATCGACCGAGTCTGCCTCCAGGCTAGGGGTCCGCAGGGTCCACCGGATCGTCCCACCATCCGTGCTCAGAACTTCGGGGACCTCTCGGAGGATGCGGCCATGGCAGCGGTGGTGGCACGCTTGGCGCAGATCACGGAGGAACATCCCTATCTGAGTTTCGGCGATCTGAGGGGTGCTGGGGGGAAGAATGGTCAGGAGTGCTGGAGGTCCCTGAAACGAGTTGCGAAGGTGACTGTGGTGACTTTAGAACTTTAGGATGCCAAAACAGATGCCTTTGGGTCCGGTCCGGGGTTTTCAGCATTCCGCCTTTGCTGGGCTTTTTGGGATTGAAATGGAGATCTGAACTATAGGGCCTATAGGGTTGGTGGCCAGTGAAGCTGGGGCAATTTGGCGTTCTACAAGCCTGCAGGATCCTCCTGTACCCGGCTGAGATGGGCGAAGGATCTTCAAAGGATCTGCCCGCTCAGGAAAAGGCCAGTTTTCGAGTGTTCAAAGCCAATGTCCTCAAAGTGTGCCCGGATCCACCATTATGGATCCCATGAAGAATCCCGGCATGGCATCCCAATCGGAGCATCGCATGGCCTCCAATCCCGAGGAAGCCCACCGGCACTGAGCCCACACCACACCAGCTCCTCTACTTCGTCCGCAGGCGTGGTCGGTTCGGAATGAGGGGCGGTTTCATCTGCCTAGCTTAGGCAGCGCTAGTGAGTGAGGCATTTTGCCAAGACTTGTGTGAGACTTAGGACATACATGCTGCATGCCTTGTTTACTGCTGTAGTATTGGACATTGAGTAACATGGCATCTAGCCATTCACCAAAAGCCAGCTCAGTTGGGTCATCCATAATCTTCTTCATGATCCGTGGGCGGGAATACTGTTTCTCCCTTTTGCAACCACCTGCTGTGATTTGTTTGGCAACCTTTCTTTACCGTATGAACCCGTATGATAGGGTATGAATACCTGTCACACCCCGACTGAATAACATGGGAAGTGGAAACCACGCTCCCTTGAAAAAAAATATGATTCTCCACCCAGCAGTGGGGTGTTAACCACCAGTGCCCCATGTGCTGCCCATGTGCTGCCCGTGATGTGCTCTCCATCCCCATGCTCTCCATCGTTTTGGTCACCATCAAGTTATGCTCTCCACCAGTGCAGCGTAGGTGTCGCGAGTACATCATTATGCGGAACTCCCAAGAGGCGCTCAGCTGCATCGAACGCATCCAGCGCAGCAGCTCGGCGAAGGACCAGCTGCACCGGCAAGCCCACACGATGTTTTTTTGAATCTTTCACATGTGCTTTTTCGACTCAGAAAGTCTGCCTGGGCCAAGGAGGGGGTTGGTAGGATTTGCCGTCGCAGCTGTCCCAGACACATCATCAACAAAATGGGAAAAGGGATGCACCTTGACGCGCACGAGCTGTTGTTGGCTTGGAAACCAGCTGCCGCTGTGTTTGTGATCCACAAGTGAGGCTCTTAGTTACCCAGGTGCTGCGTGAACTTGGGAATAGTTATACACTGAGAAGTCATATAACCAACTGATGTAGTTTCAAACGAGGATGCTGGACGGAAGTGTTCCATTCAAAAAATTCGACAGTCAGATGCGCACATAGTTGCAGCAAGGTTTTGGACGACAGGCCAGTACACATTTCACGATTCTCAGGACCATGTTATATCTCCCCCAAAGAAGGAGCCACTCCCGAAAGAGTCTTCACGCACTCTAATTGTCCCAGGATTAGGGTGTTCTCAAGTTCTCATGTCGTTTCGGAAAACCTTGGGGCCGAGCCGCCGAGCGCTTTTCGCAGCGAGGCTTAAAATACGAGATTGCACAAATCCGGGATGCCTTCCGGAGGTGGATGGGGCGTGAGTCGTGCATTTCTTCCAAGAGTGGGGTGCGTTTCGGAAGGGACGAGTTGGTCCTGAAACTGGAGGGTTGGTGTTGGTGCCCTAATCCCTAATCTACTCTACGATTGGTAGATCTTGTTGGTGCCCTAATCCCTAATCCCTAATCTAAATTAGGGACTTTGTTCGATGGTTTTGGAATGCCAATGCTCCCTTCTTGATGCTGCCGTAGACCGAAAACGCAGTATCTTGGAAGTTGAACATGCCATGCTCCCTAGTGCACTCCAACACTTTGTCGAGGGGCTTCGCGGTGGTTTGGTGCATCATTCCTACTCTGAGAGCGCTGGGAAATAAGAAAGAAAGCAGCCTTGTTCACAAGTACAACATAGTACAACTAATTATAGTGGTCCCCAAATAGATAGAAACGGTGTCCAATTCTTCTTTTTGAAAGGGATTTTACGTATCTATCTATTTGGGGGTCTCTTTTTTGCATTCTATCGCCTCCTTCATGTCCCATTCACTCGGTCCCAAGGACCGGGGGGGCCGTGCAGGTTTGATCACGATGGCTCCAACTACTTGGATCAGAACGAGTACAAATACCTTTGTGCCTATTTAGGCTGGCGGTGAGGGGGCAGACTGGGGAGGACAAAAAGGCATAGACGGACAGAGATCTGACCTGGTTTTAAGAGTGGCACTTTTGGACTCTTGCACTGGATATTTTCGTGGCCAAAGACGCAGTTAGTTCACGTGTCAAAGTGGACTTTTGACTTGTCGGGGATGGATATTATGTCCATATGTGACCGGATTTCACCCTGAATGCAGTGAACCAAAGAACAATGAGGCGACGCTGCCAATTGGCTCACCCGCTCACTTGAGAAGGGGCACGGATGACAGGTGTGGCAGCCTTGTTCCCGGCAGATCAGTGTGAGAGGAGCATCAAATCCCAACGCCTGGTATGTATGATGGTTAGGATTCTGCCTCTAATGAGAACATAACTAGCTGAAACGTGCTGGTCTTCGCCTCTTTCATTCGCCTTAAGCATCCTGTCTTGGCTCACAACCGGCCCAAGCGTTCTCCACAAAAGCTGAAGAAGTGGTGTTGCTGCTTGGCAAAATAAACACAGTGCGACCCGGCCATCGCTGTCTTTATCCTGAGTGTGGAAGCCATGACCCCTCAGTATGGCGACCCTTTTAATATGTCAGTGCTGGAACTTCGTGCTGTCCTGCGGATGCATGGCTTCTCCCAAGACGCTTGGATGGAGGAAGATAACCTTTTTTTGAATCTTTTCAGGTGAGGTCCTTCGGCACGACAATTCCTTTCGACTGATCTGTATCACCCAAACACCTTGGTTTGGTCGAATTTTTCATTTTGAGCGGGACTGAGAATATAATGCGGCGAGGACCACCTGCGCTACCTGGGATTTGATACCAAATTCTGCTCGAAGTCACAGCATTTCAGCTAGTTCTGGTAGAATAATTGGCTTGTCCATCCAGGTGCCTGTCCGATAAAGTCCCAACCTTTGCAAGCACTCCTCACAGAAATGGATGGAACACAGTGCCACAACCACCTTTGGCAGGGTGCTGTGGAAAGATAAACACCTATTTTTTTTTTGGGGGGGGAAGAAGATTGTGGGGCAATGTGGGGCAACAAGAGCATCCTTCAGAAATAGAAGCCTCTTGCTTCGTGCGCCCGCAGAGACGCAGGCTGGCTTGCAAAGAGATTTGGCAAGGCGAGCCTTCGATAACAACTTGGTGAATTGGAGGCCCAGACCCCGGCCGACGTGTGACAGCCCTGAGCCGAAGCGGAAGCCGCGGAAGCCGCTCAAGCGAGTGACTGGGTTGAAGAAAAGGGTGGGAAAGATATGGACAAATCAGGACAGATCCTTGGTTTTTGTCTTTGAAGTAGTGAGAACCCGCTCTCAAGTCTCAAGCACTGATTTGCTTTTGGAAGATGGACAAACAATGGACAAAAGTATGGTGAGGTATGGTCTCCCCATTTTGAGACAGGCCCACATCCCCAATGCCAGCCACACAGCCTTTCGTCTCCTTTTCAGATATTCTTGTGTTGCATTTGTGGCTCTTTGAACGGTCTTAAGTAGTACACAGTTTTGCAGCAGTGATGAATATCCAAGCATTTGCGCTGCCGGGTGACCCATCCAAGGTGGTCTCCTCTCCATTCAAGTGAAGCGCGGTAACAGTACCCAGCCACCCAAATAGTTGACCCACCATGTGGCATGTTTGGCCCCCCCATCATTGGTAGGTTTTCAAGGACAAGGCACCCCTTCATTTGTGAGCGCCTCGTAGGCGTTCATTGCGGATTTTGGCTTTTGAATCCCTGTTGCTTTTAAGCTTTAAGGCCCCCCCACATGAATCTATATAATGTTATACTGTATAATATATATACACACACACACTTCCCCAAGTGGAATATAAAATAGAACACATATAAAGACTATGCTATGAGAGGCCTCTGGGCTTGACACCGCACCAAATTGCGCCAACCCCCTTGAGCTGCGGGTTCCACAATGCAGGAGACCCCAGTGTGGCTCCGCTCGGACGCCTGCCTTGCTGCTCCGCGTCCACGTGCTTTGAGCGATTTGCCCCCTGCGTTTCGTGGCAGCGCTCGGTCAGCCGATGGCTACTTGTTGGATGAAGATGCAGCAGATACAGCCACCCAGGACGGAGCCGACCCAGAGCGTGCATGGGTCTAAATCTGTTCAAATATTCAACTGTCGAAAGCCGCTGCTTCGCACTTGGGATTGGTGGGCCAAGCTGACTAAAGCTATAGTGTCTACTCGTCTTGTAATCATCTTGGCTGCCATTCGCCATGAACGTCGGTATAATAGTTTACAAATCCAAAAAACTCCTTGTTGGTAGCAGTTGGTCTTTTGAGTGAAACATACTGTGCGTTTGCTCCAGAAATTATCACCTTCCCCGCTAGAATTCTAATCTGTGTGTATTACTACAAAACAATTAATACACATTCAATAGATCACACGCACACAAGGATGACTGCGCTTTGACACGCGGTGACATCTGAAGTTTAGCAATCTTTCTTATCAGACAATTCATTCAAAATTTGACGTGTGAAGGGTGGAAGATCTTTTGGTGCAAACATGTGCCAGTGGAGGACTGGTCGACAGACGCGCACGAAATGCGGCCTACGAACAGGACGAGATTGTATTTGATGGAGAAGAGTGTTAAGAAGGGGATGCCTGAGAAGAGAAACAAGATCAAGGAACAGATCCAGAAAGACAAGAGCAAGAATGATGACAAGAAGTGGAAAAAGAAAGAAGAGAAGAGAAGGAAGGACAAGAAAGACAAGAAGAGCAAGAAGGACAAGAAAGACAAGAATGACAAGAAAGACAAGAAGGACAAGAAGCGGAAGAAAGTCGAGAAAGCCAAACATGATTCACATGATGGTCGACCAGACAAGAAGCGCAGAAGATCTATCTAGTCGCCTACAATAAGGAGCTGCAAGACTCGTGGCCCACGTGGGGTGGTTTTTCTCCACTGTGTCTCACGGCGTGGAGAGTCGCCGTGTCTCATCGGCGTAGACGTGATGGCGAAGGCCAGGAACTCCCAGGATGGGATTCTTAGAAGCAACGAAAAAGGCCAGGAACCTCTTCTGCCAGGTGGTCATTCCATGTTGGTCTTCTGCCAGGTGTTGCTGTTTTTGGTCTTCTCCTCGAACTCCAAGCTGTAGAAAAGGATCTGGTTTCTGCAGAGCTGGGAAGGCAATGACCTGCACAAAGTCTTGAAGGAGAATGCAAGCCTCAGGCTGAAGGCAGCACATGTACCGCATCACCAGTGGAGAACAGGATGCGCAGCCGAGAAGACTTGAAAGTTCTACCCAGCAGGACGCGTGAGGGACGGGATGCCCTGTGCCCGTGCATGATATGTGAGATTATTATTGTTCGGTGGTTGAACTCGGGCACAAGGATCTCAATGAGAAGTGGCTGCTGCGAAGTCTATTTGTAAAGTTAATCTGTCCGATAGATCCAAAAGGATCTTGAACACCAAATGCCTCCCTGAGGACTGTCCAAAAATAGTCGCTGGATCAAGCTGAGACTAGCAGTTGCTTCAGGTGAAAAGGCAGATCATGAAGGATCGATTGTTACCGCGCGCAGTTCCTGGATTGCCTGGGTCGCCGCAGTCGAACCCACCAAGCCTTGAAGAGCCAAGCCCATATCTTCACCAGATTCTCCAGACTCACGGAATCAGCAACCGAATCGAGGTTTGTGGACGAACAATTCTAAAGGGATGCTATGCATCGCTACTAGTAGCTTCTTGTTGCTAGTAGCGATGCAGTTGTTACTAGTAGCGATGCGCTTGTTACTAGTAGCTATTTATGCTTTCCAGGATGAACAAAGGAGCGAACATAACACGACTCAAAGATGATCCCCGTAGACTACGACCAAATTCGCCCACCAACGGTAATCACTGCATTAGAGGGTGTAGTTTGACACCTGGGCTCGGTGTGCCGGTTTCCCTCTTCGCCGTTCAGCACAAACCGGAGCATCCCAGCCGTCCTGTGGTTCAACTGCGGTCACGGCTTTCGAAGCGTTTTGCCTGACAGGCTGGGGTGAAGAGGAAGCCCGGCTCATGGATTTGGACGCGGATCAGAAGGTGACCTTCGAGGAGAGGGAGAGCGGCAGGCGCTTCGGTACACGGGGCGACCTTCGGTGGCGGCATGGGGTGTTGAAGTCAATGGCATGTGGAAGGCCAAGAGGCACGTACCTACTATATTTCTTTATACTATATTCTATTATATTATACGATATTTTGTTTTATTGTATCATGTTATACTAACATATTATGTTATTATACTATTATACTATACAATGTATATTGTATACATATTTGGTTGGATGAACTGTGTATGTGATGTTTAGTTTCCATGGCAACTTCTCAGGCTTAAGGCAAATCCCATTGTTTCAGGTTGGTGGCCGGACACCTGAAGGAAGGGATCAATCGAATTGTTTTTACTGGTGTTTCTCTGCCTCCCTCGCCGATCCCGTTATATATTTGGCCTTCAAATGCTACACCGCTGTTTGGGAGGTTGCTTAGCGTTGAGTCATACCATTCATTGTCACAGCCACAAATGTGTTTGAAATGCGAGGGGCACTCTGCATCCGTGTGGAACTCTCCTTGCACAACGCTCATGGACTTTGAGTTGGGTAGGAAGGGATCCCAATAAATAACTGCCAGCAAAATAATCCAAACACTCTCCAGCTACGCATGGCACTGTTTTGGTCCCTCCGTTTTGCGTGGAAAACATGGCCGATGCTGCTGAGAAGTCTCCAATGTATAGCGGCGAAGTCTCCAACGACTTAGAAGACATCCTAGTCATTGTTCCTAGTCGTTTTCCTCCTTATAGCCTTATAGTGGCCAATAATCTGTCTCTTCCACCTTTAGTGCAACCCTGCCTGTGCCCCTAAAAGGACACTACTTCATGTAGACTAGGTAATCAGTAAAGTGGTTTGCAACTCCATTCCCAGAAGCAAGACACCTGGTTTGTTGTACCTTTGCGGCAATCAGTGGAACAGAGACTCGAAGATCTATGTTACGATGATTCGAAGATCTATATAGGTCACACCGGTCGTTCGCGCAGGAGTTCCAGCTCTTCGTGGGACACATGGGCACCTCGGTCTGTCTGGCAGTCACACGCTGTGACAGGGTCGTCTCGCATGGTGTCTCACGCAGCAAGCTCTAGACCTGGACCTGGTAGAAGACGCGGACCTGGTGGGGGAAGCCCGGGGCTTGTTCTGGAGACCAAGCGAGAGTTGAAACAGATTTGACCCAGGGTACTTCAACTCGGCCTTAAATACTCTCAAAGCACTACTGTAGTAAGAGTGCAAGCATCAACACCGCAGGCCAAGCAAAAGACGTCAGACATCCCTTGCGACCAACGGAACCGGATCCGTCCAGTTCGTAGCTGCCAAGCCGTGCGCAGAGGGTATGGAACGTCAGCTGCGACTGTTGGTATACCCAGTGTATCCAAGTATACTAGGACATGAGCACCACTAATGACACTCATGAGTGCTTGCGAATTCCTATTTGAGTACTGCGCGACCAGTGCGACCCTGACTCTCCTGCCTTTCCTGTCGCCCCGTTGCCCTGTCGCTCGGGTTTGTTCTCCCCAAGGCGGTTTGGCGCAGCTCTTTGAGCATCGGCGGCAAAGGGTGGCCAGCAAAAACTGGGGTGCCACGGATGCAACGCGTGGCAACACCAATTGTAGAGTGCATCGATGCTAGCTGCTACAGGGGGTGCACACCTTTTAAAGGGCTGGATGTTGGCTGGCTCCAGCCCCCACTGAGGAACACGGTCGTTTTCTCCGCACTTGTGTTGGTTCAGGGTCACAGGGGCTCACCAGATCGTCAAACGACCGAAAACAGGTTCTTTACTTTCAGAGTGCTCAGAGTCGTGAACTCTTATGCTATGATTCAGCCAGATTGAAAGGTAATCCAAGGCCCTTCACCGCCCATGCCACATGCTGTGCAGTCTTCAACGCCCATGTAGAGAAGGTGAGGATGCGCCAGCTGTGGTGGAGGTTGGCGCTCGCATTAGAGCCTTCTACTACACGCAGGCCGATTCCCCGCAAGGAATTGAAGTTCGCGCAAGATTGAAGTTCGTGCAAGTGTATCTCTTGGATTCACAAAATTTTCACGAACCCCACAAAGGTGTTTGTCGGCTTCCCCTTTGGTGATATTTTGGGGGGATTTGGATTTGTCTCGATGTGAGTGAGATCCAAAAAGAACGCTTTTCATCGACTTGCCTCACCATCCCCCTTGTGGGATAGCGTGGAGAGGATCTGATCTGACTGGTTGCCCTCCCTCGGCACTCTTCTCTGCTTATTTTGGAGACTGAGATATTCATGAGGTGTTGACTGGGGGGAACATGTCCATGCACTGTGCCTCAATGGCTTCTCAGCAGAGCTCAGCCATGCGGATGTCGCCCCTGGTCCGGGTGTGGGGCGTTTTTGGGGATGGCGCAATGGCATAAACTGGTGACACTCAGGGTGGGTCACCCGTTTCTTTCCCGATTTGGGGACGTCCAGTGACCGCAATGGTGGGATTTTTCTCGGGCGCCGTTTGGGTTGGAGCACATCCGACAGAGCGACGTGTTTTGCTGTCACAAGGGGCGGTATTTGGTGAGGACCACAGGAAGAGGAAACGCATGGCCTTGAACGTCAGCGAACACTGCCCTAGACCAGTTGTTGGGATTTCACCAGGATTTCACCAGGGTTTGTAACTCATCCGGTCTATCATGGTCAGAAATCATATCCAAGAGCTTTCATCATCCGGTTTGCTCCTCTTCTTCCTCTTTCATGGGACTGGGATGGACTCAGCTGATACAGATCATGGATTCAGCTCCCTGCTTTTTGAAAACAACAAGCGTCAGGACGGTAAGAAGTCGTCCACTTGGAGAGAGGCGTGGTGTGCTTACTGAACGAAGGGCCGATGTAGCTGATGTAGCTGAGTGGTCCAAGGAATCCCATTGGGGGCAATCAAGTGGCCAGCTGCATGAAACTGCCTGGTTTCTCTATCAATCCCCAACCTGCCCAAAGAAAAAGCAAAGGGAATGAGAAGAGGAACATGGAAACACCATGCACTAGCTGCAAAAATCACTAGCAAGGATGAAAGACGAAGACACCCAAAAAAGACAATCACAAGAATCAGACAAAAATGAAACTGAAGACTGAAGAAAACAACATCTAAACCTGAAGGAAAACCTGGAAAAAACACTGAAACTGAAGGACACAAAGATCTAAAGCAAACATCCGATCATCCGCGGGTTTTCGCTTCGGGTGGTGGACCATCCAGGCGCAAGTCCTGGAGCTCAATGTCATGCCGGAGAACGGCGTGAGGCGCCTGGCGGTGGTGCAGTGGATGCGTTGCCAATTGAATCCAATTGACTGGTTGTTTTTAGGTGGTTTTGATGAATAATCGAGGCGTTTTTTTGCACGGTCGGTTGCTTGGTTGGTTGGGCACAGACTTTTGAACACAGCTGGGTGGGTGCGAGATGAAGGGTCCGGCGTCAACGTGTGGACTTTGTGTTGTCGCAGCAAGCTGTTGATGCCCAAATGGGAAGTTCTTTCAGCAAGTTGTTCGTAGTGGAACATAGTGGAATAGATGGGGCGCAACCCTGTTTGGTTTGCGCTTGATTGTTGTACAATTTGTTGTATTTCTATAGGTTGTCCAGTCAACCTGAAGCTGCGCAGTCAACTCATCAGGTTGCTCCGTCAGGTCGCTCATTGGTAGAAGGAAGAAGATGGGTGTGTATTTAATTTTTAATAGGGAGACGCCCCTGGCCCAATGAGTGCTTGCAGGAAGGCTTTGGGAGGTCTCCGTATTGTAAGACACCCATATATGTTTTTGATGCAACCCTCCTTCAAGCCAGTCACTTAGAGAAGGTGCACAGAGGATGTGAGCGACGTCCGCAGACACCGAACCTGAGGCCTCTGAACAAATCTGCAGGACTTAGAGGTTTTGATGACGCACGAACAGTTCATGAAACCCAAACTATGAAACCCAACAGTTCATGCCTTTGAAACCCACTGTTGTTTTTTTCTCTGAAACCAAACAGTTTTTGTGGGGGCTAACCTGCTACCGACCTTTGCAGCTGCTCTTGGCAGTTTCAAGCGCCTTCGCTGGTCGGTCACGTGACAGGCTGCTCTTTGGTTTCGGAGAGGAGTCGGATGGCAAGGCCGAACGTCAGGCGGGTGACTTCGAGGATGAACAGGAAGCTTCATCCAAAAGCACCAGTATATACATATTATATATATAGACATTAATCATTATATATAGTGTAAAAGCAATGAGCCTAAATGGATCCCAGTTGGATCTAGAATTTTTGGGTGTGTATTCTCGCGTATTCTTCATCCTTACTTACCCTGAAGATCCCTAAAGTATTTCGGACTAACTTGGGGCTGGTCCCCACCGGACCGTTGCCGGACCGCAAAAAACCCGCGTCGCCCGTTTCGTGGTGCCACTTCGGTTCAACCGGGGCGTCACAGGTGGTGCCTCCCAGCTGGATCTTCTACGACTCCCGCGATAGCGAGGTGGTGGCGGCACTGCGGGAGGCTGAAGACGTAGACGGCTGAGTCGGTGGCTTTTTTCGGGGTTGGAGGAAGGGAGGCCGTAGAGGTGGCTTCAAATACTTTGGAACTCATTGGGGGAATGCCTTCAGGCGCCGAGGCGCATCTCGATATGATGAACCGATGTCGTCTGAGACAAAGCCAGTTGTGAAGCGCTGAGAAAAGCGTCAGTAGAACGGCTGGCTGGGCAGGATTTGATCAATCCATATTGCTAATGCATGGGTTTGATCCAGATCTCCACATTTGTCCAAACCTGCCTTCGAACCCCAAAAGGAACCCTCCTTCGACAGAATTTCTGTGTCGGGCAGCAGACCTTTTCCTGTTTAAACGTTTAAAGTTTGAAGTAATTGGGGACAGTGATTCTTCCAGAACACGTTACAAGTCCTCCATGATGGAATGGTTGTTTTAAGGGATGTTTTGTACTGTCCAGTTTAGTTTAGACAGTGATTCCCGAAGCCTAAAGTGGAGTAAGGTCGGTACGACGGTCTGCATGATGGATGAGGCTTTGCCTCAGCCTACTAGGGGCTACGAACAGATTGTTTTTCTACCTCAATGTGCTGGTACCATGCAGGGTGAACATCGACTTCACAACTCCTGCCTTTGCTAAAATTCACTGGGGGTGTGGCCATCGATTTTCATAGCTTGTGTCAGTGAAACATGGACTCTCCAAACCGGCCCCTAACCACCTAGCCCCCCAGAAAGGGCAGGGATCCCCAGCTCGCACCCCATCTCGGGGACTCCAAGTGCTTTGTCGGTGGATAGGTTGGGATCCTGGAGGAGCAGCAAGCCTTTTGGGCTTCGATCTTCCCACAATCTGAGATGCGTGCAGCCGCATGCCAGGATTGGGACAGGTCGTGATGGATTTGCATGGGTGTTTGGGGGAGAAGGATTTGCATGGGTGTTTGAAGAAAAGAAGAGCGTGAAACAAATCAAGAATGATGCGGTGATTTTTACTGGACCACATAGCGGGGAGTTTGTGACATATAGTGTTAGCTGTTTTACTCTATGCAACACTCCAATGACTCAAATAGGTAGCCTAGTTCGGCGTGCTGCATGTGAACTCATAATGATTCCTTAATCACAATCATAACACTCCGTGTCAGCACATGTCAGCACTCAATTTGACAGTAGATGTCCAAGATGGCACAGCATGGTCCCCACCTGACTGATAATGATTCCATGAATCTGGTAAAAACGGGAAAGAGGTCCTCACCTGTCTCTCCAGTCTTGTGAGGTTCACATGGTTGGCCTAGCTTCCTCGGGACAGTTCTGGAAGATCAATGCCCCCCAAAACAGGGCCGCTGGAGTCGAGTCTCCAAATCCATCTCTAAGGCCTCGGACAACGGGAGTAATTAATCCCACACCCGATAATTCTACCAGAGAGGTGTCTTCATGTTTCATGACCCGACGCACCAAGCCGGTACAAATTCAATAGAGAGAAATTAAAAGGACTCTGCTGCAGACGTGAAAGCCAGAGCTAGCACCACGGAGTCCACCTGCCCCTTCTCGCAACCGACTTTCCCGTCCTCCCTGCCATGGCCGAGGTGGCGTCCCTGGTGCCGTGCCAGCGCAAGGCCTTGGCGCATGTGCGGGCCAATGCAGCGATGAACCACGAGAAGGCGCCACGTTCCGAGTGAGACACTCGTGGGGCGAAGGATTTGGCCTCATGGACCTCATGGACATGTTGCTAATACAGCTGGTTTCTTCCTCAATGTGATCTCCCTCAATGTGACTTGCAGCTGGAATGTGCTCCTCCCTACCTGGTATACGAATATGGCTTGTCCACTGTGGGCAGGTTGTGAGAAGCCGGGCTGTGATACATTCTTCGCACCCCTCGTGGTCACGGAGCCCCACCGAGCCCAAACCAGAATCAATTTGCAATAATTTTAGCACTTTTTCATAAAGGACATTTGGCTGTTAAGTAGGTCTCAACCAGCGTCCCAACCGTATTTCCTAGCAACTAACCAACCTATCAACATCTATCAATCCTCAAAGTCTTCCTTTACCTTGACACTTGTACTCATGAATCAATCCTCCAGGCTTTTCGACTCGTCCCGGTCTTCCTGTCCCTACCGGGTGCAGGCGCTACCAGAGGTGCGGGAGCGCTTTGCAGAGCTGGGCTACGGGGAAGAACAACTGCAGGCAGTGCTGGGCTGGATTCAGGACATCCCGAGATCAGGGGAGAAGGAGGGCGAAGGAGGGAAGGCAAGAAAAGGCAACCAGGGTCATCCAGGGTCGATGGGCGAGGTTCTTTTACTGTTGATGAGATTTTTTGGACTCTATGGCTATGTGCGGACTGAAGTCGAGGAGGAGCCCAAATGGCAGGAGCCAGCAGAGTTTGTTGGACTTTCTACTAGATTCTACTCTCACTCTGCGAAATCGTAAGGCTGGAGCTTAAGACTTCTACTAAAGGCTTTAGACCAGCGTCTACGGTTGATTTCCTCGCGCATGGAATAGCCTTTGTTCACTTGGTTTTTGACAAAGTTCTTGTGGATCCTTGTGGCCAAAAACCCATCGGTTCACCGTCCTGAGTCCTGAGCAACAACAATTAGTTAGGGTCAACACACATGTTTTTACTTTGCCAGTGCTAGTTTTGCTTCATCCCCATAATATATAACTTCAATTGTGTGCATTGATGATTTAGGTGCATGGTGAAGCAACTCACATTTATATACAGTACATAGTCATGACCAAACTTTGCACGATGGCTGTGGGATCACTGAGCTGTCTAGCTTTACATGAACTGTGTAGACTAGGCTATCCCTTTTTGGGGCGAGCGACTAGCGGTCTCTATTTCACACTGATGAAGGCCAGGGGTCAGCTTTGCATTCCAGAGTAGGGAGGCCAGGGGCTGCCCGGGCCTGGTTTGAAAACTTCTATTTTCAGCGTAATCTGTAACTAGAACAGACGGCAAATTGGATATTCTGGTCAGGCCTGGAATACGGTTGCATCGATTCCTCCCTTGAAGCGCTTGAAGCGCTATGGACCAAGTCCGTGAACAATGAGTCTGTTCAAGGATGCACATGCTGAAACTGTGCAAGGTACCCAGACAGCACAGTTGATTGTGCCACGTGCCTGGAAGATGAATTCCATTGGTGCTTGTTAGTCAGTGGCCCTCTGGTGCAGACAACGGTGCGACCGTCGAGCTTCGACGCTGCGTGGGTGAAGGCCTGCGCCTCACCGACAGGACCTGGCGCCGATGTGCATCCACGTGCACATTGACAACGTGGGCCGGTTCCTTGAAACAGTTTCTGGGCCTCAGACAGGTGGGTCACATGGGTGCAAGGATTGGGCGAAGGATGGAGGCAAATACCCAATATGATATATACATGTAATATACATATAATTATTGATTTCAAATTTTGCTTTGTTCCCTAGAAGGAGGCATGGAAGCTTGATTTACAAGCCTTTGGTCTCATGTGGAGCGCCTCAGTCACGACGCTGTGGGGGTTGTCGTTGTGAGAACCATCTTAAAAAGAACCAAAAAATCTGGCTTGGCTGGGGCTCTGCGACTCCAACCATCTGGCTGCGTCCACCAGGAGGTGTGCAGACCCCAAACAGGAACCACACTCCTCGCCAGCAGGCACAAGCCACTCCCTTCTGAAACCGGCGGTGAAACTTATGTTTTCTTTTGCTCAATTTCATTTATCATGTGCAGTTGCTGCGGTGGGGAAAAGGGATTGACAATGCCTCCTCTTCTCACGGGACTCCAAGCATTAAGTTTTGCAGCGACTGTTGTGCACGATCGAGACCCAATACAGAACTGCTGGGTATGGGAAAGAACAAAGTTTCGAACATACAACATGTGTTTTTGACACCCTTCATGTCCAGATTTGAGGGACTTTGCACTTTGCACTCTGCACTTTGCAAACCCATCGCCCAAACACTACCATTTTAACTTTAGGAATTCAGTACTGTTTGCATCGTTTTCACAATGAACACCACGAGGGGGGGAAATTTGTCTGCCTTTGATGACATGTCCGAGGACGAATTCTACCGCAACCAGTTCGAGACGGGAACTTCTTGTGGCGCCCTTGATGATGGCAACATCATCCGAAAGGCTAGATTGATTGAACATGGACCAGAACACATCGGTTCCATTCGGTTTTCGGGGTCGGTTGTTTACACTGGTTTTCGCAAAGTTCATTCTCATCCCATACCTGCAGGGGTGTTGTGATATATGTTTCGTTTGAAACACCCACATTTCATCATTTCAGCTGCAGTTGTGGATCTGTGGGGGATACCTTTTGGATTCCTTGCCGTTCCTTGCCCGTGGCCCACCCGGCGAGACGAGACTGGGAGAGTTTTGGTGTTGGATCGTGCCGAAGCGGAAGGCCATTCCACCAGGTGCAGTTGTGGTGTTTGATGGTGTCTTCTTCTTCGTTCTTTTTCTTTTTTCTCTGGCAAGTGGTCCGACAGTTTGCTCATGACTTTTCTATGATGATGATGGTGATGGTGGTGATGATGATGATGATTCTTCATATTCCCAGTTCCCCAAAGAGGACCTTTTCACCCTGTCTGACAGGGCTGGGAGAAGGAGCTCTTTGGGGGTTGCTATGATGACTCGAAGCCCTTCGAGCGTTGCAAGTACGGAGCCTTGAGCGCCTCTTGGCGGGAGGACGAAAGTCGGACTCTCTCGCCGGAGTTTCGGGGGACCAGGTAGCCTTCGACTCGTCGCTGGGGTTTTTGACATGGGATGACGTGATATGACATGCTATTAACCTGCCCCCCCCGGGTTTGACAAGTTTCCTTTGCGGCTTCAAGTGAGCGCGAACTGAATTGGGTGGATGTGTTTTTGGAGATTTTTGGAAACTGCTTGGTGGCATTTTCAACTTTTGGGGGGTGCCTCAGCACGTGCTTGGGGTATTACACCCTGCGGGTTGTTCCGCCGGCCTTTTCAGCCAATGGTCCCAAGATGCGGATTACCTTTTGCGTCAAGAGGAAAGACTGCAACAGAGCAGAAAAAGTAACAGCATCATCCAGAACACAGCTGGAGCAACAGAGGAGCCTACATGAAATGATGTGCATTATGATACAATAAGAGAACAGGGAGATGAAATTGGGGGATGCAAAGTATAGCCTGCCAAGCAAGAAGACAAATTATATGACATGTGACACAATGAGCGAAGTAGACCGTGCGAAGCAGCAAACGTACATAGCACTCCGTCAGACATGATACAAGAGAGTAATGAGGACATGTGTGGCATGGGGATTTCCAAGCAGTCTGAGTCTGCAAAAAACGATAGATACGTGAGTGCAGGTGCAAAACCTGAGAAAAACGCATGCAAAGCAGAAGCGCCATGCATGGACAACGACAAGAGAAGAACGACGAGAAGAAGGAAGCGCGCACAACCTTTCACTTTAGCTATGATATATGTGAGCTACATACATTCGGGATGTTCTTGGGGGGGGAGGGCGGGG